CCGCCACCACACAAACACATTCTTCTCTCTTCTTCTTCGCAATTGCTTGCATAAATTTCACGCTATTCTATATATACACTTCATTCGACCTTCTCCTATTTACAATCCCAAATTTCTCGTGCCTTTTTCCCGATTCCACCCAATTCAATTCTGCTTCGGGGTTCGTCCCTCATCGGAATCTCTCTTCAGACTTGCTTTTCTTCACCATTCCTTTCCTCTCCTCTGAGTCTGTCTTGTGCAAATTCCGCATTTTTGTCTCGAATCATCATCTCGGGTGGGTTTCAATGGCGCTTGCGTATGATCCTCTCTTCATCACATCCGACAAATCCTCCACGGAGATATCCTTAGCGTCGATTAATTTAACCCAGGACGACCTCAAACGAATCGCCGCTTACAAAGCCGTCGAATTCGTCCAATCCGGCATGGTCCTCGGTCTAGGCACCGGCTCCACCGCCAAACACGCCGTCGACCGCATCGGCGAGCTTCTCCGGCAAGGAAAACTCGAGAACATCGTCGGTATCCCAACCTCGAAGAAGACCCAAGAGCAGGCTCTGTCTCTCGGTATCCCTCTCTCCGATCTCGACTCGCATCCCGTCATCGATCTCTCAATCGACGGAGCTGACGAGGTCGACCCTGATCTCAACCTCGTTAAAGGTAGAGGAGGGTCTCTTCTAAGAGAGAAGATGATCGAAGGAGCTTCCAAGAAGTTCGTTGTGATTGTCGACGAGTCGAAGATGGTGAAACATATAGGTGGAAGCAGGTTGGCTCTTCCGGTGGAGATTGTTCCGTTTTGCTGGAGATTCACGGCGGAGAAGCTCCGGGGACTGCTTGAGGGATACGGATGCGAAGCGAATCTGAGATTGGGAGAGAAAGGGAAGCCATTTGTGACGGATAATGGGAATTACATAGTGGATTTGGTGAATGTGGAGAAAGATATGGGAGATTTGGGACTAGTGAGTGATGCGATCCTGAGGTTACCTGGAGTTGTGGAGCATGGGATGTTTCTTGATATGGCTTCTACTGTTATCATTGCAGGTGAGCTCGGTGTTAAGATCAAGAACAAACATTGATTCTCTTTCTCTTGTTTGGTTTGTCTTGTATGGGAGAAAGAAAGTGATGCTCTAGATAGGTTTGGATGATGTCATTGTGAGGATTTTCCTCGGAGAGTTTTGGATTTTTGAATGCCTTCTCTTGCTTCTAAGTTTGGTTTTTAATTAGCTCTCTATTCATTGTTGTATTACATACTATAGTCGATATTGATAGAGCCTGGCTTTTGTTTTATGTTGTTTTCAATCAGAAAGCTTCAACGAAACCAATTTGAATTGTCAAAGTGCTTCTGTTGTTGATGATTATGAAACGTAAGAAATCAATAATTTTGGTTTTGGCCTAGAAAACCAATGAAACGCATTATTTAACAAAATGAAGAAAAACGCATTATTGATACGTATCCTGTCAAATGATGCCATACCCACCTCATACTCTGACACGCGTCCCAGACTAACACGTGTCACTAGGAGGAAAAAACAAAAAACAAAAAGAGAAACAATATCCAAATTTTCTGTCCTTTTAACATGAAAATACCATTTCTTGTCAATTTCATCAACTGTTTAAATGGTGTCGAGTTGTTTTGATCCTTGAGCTAGCTACTTGTTTTTGTTGTTGTCTTTGACTAAATGTATTTGTTACAAGGAATTATTCTAAAGGCCACGAGTGTGTATAACTATATGTACTATATTATACTCCCTCTGTTTCAAAATGTAAGTTGTTTTAGATAAAAACACAGATATTAAGAAACTACTTTTCTACTAAAAAAATATCATTAATATATTTAATAAAAATAATTTGACCAATCACATAAAAAACTGCAAAATATTAGTGGTCACACAATATTCAATAAAGTTAAAAAATATCTAAGATTGTCAAAACAACTTACATTTTAAAACAAAAAAAATCTCCAAAACAACTTATATTTTGAAACGGAGGGAGTATTTTTTTTTATATAATAAAGTAAACTAACAATCATAAGATTCGAGAATCCATACTCTATCGCTTTGCTTCATCTGCAAACCCACATAACCTTTTTGTAAATTCGGAGTTCAGAGAGAAAGAAAGGAAGCTTTTTTTTGTCTGTTATCAATAATAAGGCTTTAGCTTGAGGAAAAGACGATTCTCTTCTTTTTTAAGTCTCCTTTTTCTTCGCTTTTCCACTTCTTCGACAAAAAAAGAGAGAAGAAAACGGTACAAACTTGTTTCTCCTTCCTTTGCTTCTTCCTCTTGTCCTAAATTTTTGATCTGTCTCTCGTTCCTTGCTCTGTTTTCGGTAATTTTTCCTCATCTCATCTGGGTAATTTCAGATTCAAAAGTTGTTTTGTTGTTTTTATCATATTTTTTTGGATATATATATAGTTTGAGATCATGTAACTTTTGAATTTTCCTTTTTCTTCTAAGCTATATTTCTGTTAACCGCTTGGATAAAGTTTGGCAGATTAAAAAGACATTCCATAAAAGAAACCTTTTACAGCTTTTGTGTTCTGTTAACCAACCAACCAACCAGCTTTGGTTCACCTGCACCTAAACCACCATTAGCAACTCTCTCTCTCTCTCAAATCCAGAGAATCTGTTTGCTTATTATATTGAAGAAGAACTCTGTTTCATTAATGAGCTCCTTCTAGTTCACATGTTCATGTTGCGTATTACATCATCTCCTTAGCATTGAATGCAAATTTGCTTCCTTTGATTCTTACTCAACCTTTTTATTTATTATCATTATT